CCCAGACCTGTGATGGGAACACCTGGATGCAGTGTAAATGGGAGTGTCTACAGACCCTGAGTCCATTTCGATCAAATTTGTGTGCTAAACAACTGCATTATGCTCAACTCATACAGCTGCATCATAGTCACCTTCTTTTTAAGATGAAGTAGGTTTTTTTAACCAATTAAGATGGTCTTCTTCTTCTTCTTCTTTTTCTTCTTCTTCTTCTTCTTCTTCATCTCTTCCTCCCCCCCCTCCTCCTCCTCCTCCTCCTCCTCCTCCTCCTCCTCCAAAAGAGTCCTTTTTTTGTTTGTTTGTTTTAAACAAACACCATGTTCCTGTGGTTGAAAATGTCAAACTACATTTATTTCTGGTGAATTGATGCTGGACGGCTGCCCTTTTACTGGGGATCTGCCCAAGTTCCAGAGCTCTGTAATATCTTTTTAAAATAAAAATTAATGAAGTACTCAATGCAAATGCTGCTTGTGTGGCGTACTTAAGTTACCAGCTGTGTAACTGAGCAGGAAGGAATCCAGAGCTTAGCAGCAGCCCAGCATAATAAATGAGGTTGTTTGTCTTGCAATAATGGAATGATAATTGTGATAATTTCAGAAGTCGCTCTCATTAGGCCCCATGAGATCTCGTGCTTGCTTCCCATCGTTTAAATATGTATGTCGTCTCCCTGAGAGTGTCTTCTTGATGAGGAAATGTAAGCACAGAGATACTGGAAAAGATGATGGCAAGTTTCTCCACCCCCCACCCTCCGCCCATGAGAACCTTAAAACGACAGACTAAAGTTTCACCTGAATTTGCATTGTCAGTTGTATAAAAAAAAGCCCTGGCAGAGAAGAGAAGGAGGACTTGGAAAAGACTGCTTTCTTTTCCTTGGCAGACAATGTATATATTTACTGACTTGTAAAATAACAGTAAACCGTCTGGTATGTAAAGACAGCAGATGAGAAAATAGTATGTTATGGGTATTGATTTTCATTTTCTTACTCAAGCGCTAGGCATTTATTAGCTCTCTGCTTTCCCCAAATGTAAAGGCACAATTCTACATGTGGTTTCTACCAAGTGAGGTACTATAGGATTTGGTGACAGCCCTGTTTGGACGGTATATAGGAAGAGGCCTTATACCTTAGGCAGAAGATTGGTCCATCTAGGTAAAAAAAGGTCAAGGTCAAGGACCCCTGGGTGGTTAAGTCCAGTCAAAGGCGACTATGGGGTTGCGGTGCTCATCTTGCTTTCAGGCCGAGGGAGTCAGTGTTTGTCCACAAACAGATTTCTGGATCATCTGGCCAGTATGATTAAACCGCTTCTGGTGCACCGGGACACCGTGATGGAGCGCACGGAAACGGCGTTTACTTTCCCGCCGCAGCGGTACCTATTTATCTACTTGCACTGGTGGGTTTTCAAAATGCTAGGTTGGCAGGAGCTGGGACAGAGCAACGGGAGCTCTTTCTGCCATGGGGATTCAAACCACCGACCTTCAGATTGGCAAGCCCAAGAGGCTTGGTGGTTTAGACCACAGTGCCACCCGTGTCCCATTGGTCCATCTTGCTCAATACTGTTAGCACTGACTAGCCATGGTTCTCCAGGGTACCAGACGGGAATGTTCCCAGACCTACCTGGAGATGTCAGGTATCATGAGCCTCAGTGACAATCATGGAGGGGTCAGATCAGGGAAAAGGGGTGAGAACAGCTTGAGGGGTTGCAGGGTAATGATTCTAGGGAAGGACCATGTCAGGGCCCCAGGAAGCATCAGAGCTGTCCAAGGGAGATACCACAGGTGAGTAATCCTAACCAGGGAAAGCATCCAGCAGGGTGTGAACCCATCACCCAATGTTAGAACTCACACGCAGTCCCAGCACCAAGTCACACCATGCCAACTCTGCCACCAGCCCTGCCATTGCTTCTCATGCCTAACCCTCTGTCAGTTCCGCCCACCAAGGAGGCGACAGAGACCCAGTCACCTCCTCTGTCAGCTAGGACACAGAGATGCCAGCGCAAACAGACAGCTCAGGCCCAGCTCACCAGAAGAAGTTCCCATCTGCTTGCCCAGTCCAAAGAAACACGTCACTTGTTGCACTAAAATCATGCATACTTGCTCCTTTATAATAGGAACTCACAGTGTGGGTCACCCTCAGATCAACATCTTAGCTCGCTTAGCTATGCTATGCATGTGGAGTGCCTTTGGACCTCACCTTGTTTATATGCTAATTTGAACATCAAAGGTTTCGGATTGAAATGTAATCCGAGTATGATTATTTTGTCCAGTGAAAGCCAAGACACCAGGGACTGGATCAGGGAACTTTTGCATGCAAAATGGATGCTCTACCACTGACCTGAAGCTCTTCCCTTGCTGATGAAGAGCTGGCAACTGCTGACCATTTTTTCCTTTGTTTTTTGCTATTTTGTTTTGGAATTAGATTACATTCTTGACTCCTCCTTTTCAAATAGGCCCCACATATTTACCTATCCCATGCTTGACATCATGTGATGTCAAGTATTGGACAGGTGGGTGGAATTGGACAGGTCACACCATGGGCCAAATGAGAAAGTCTGGGTCAGAGGTTCCTCGCTGCTGTTTTCTATTACTTACCCTGAAATCTGAAGTGCATATTGCTCACCTCGTGAAGCTGAATTAATACACAAATAGGACATAACCAGGGCTTCCCTTTTAGGCCTTCTAAGGTTTCCAGCAAGGTTCAAGTGCCTGATATTGAATATATTCAAGATTAAATTGCATGTGATGATGATACTATAAAAACATTTGATGAGGGCTGTGGTTATTTTTTTATATCTTGTAAAAGCCAGGGATACACAGCTTGAGGAATATAGTCTGAAATACAGGACAGGAAAGCAATTGACCACTTTTGCCCCTGCGAAAATAGCACTTAAAGGCAGATCAATCCAACATTAAGGATTTTAAAGCAACATATATTTCACCTATTTGTGTGGAATTTGTACATTTTGATGTATCCCACAGTTACGTCAAGAAGTGCTGCTTGGGCCTCCATCACAAGCAGATTAGGCTGAGAAATACAGTTTTGCTTTATGAGTTACTAAGAATTTTAATCCAGGCCTCTCCTAGGTGGCTTCCAGACCTGGGATTGCTCATACAATACAGGATGAGACTCTTAGTCTCAGGGTTGTTGGTTTGAGCTCCACTTTGGTCAAAAGATTCCTGCATTGCAGGGGCTTGGACTAGACGACCCTCGTGATCCTTTCCAATTCTATAACTCTATGATTCTACTTTTTAGGTGGGATTCAATCACATTCCAGCAAATTCAGGGGCACAATTATAGTTGATTCAAACCCCCTTCCCCAAAGACTAGACTTTTTGCAATAAGGAAAGTGATGGGAAAATGCACTGGAAACTGTGGCTTAGCAACTTCACCACAACCCAAGTTGGGTGGGATGCTCTAGGGACCAAATATGGTACTGGTCCCTGGCACATTGGGGGGGGGATTGCTGGTCCACCCTATCAGCTGGTTTGAGAAGCACTGGCACGGCATTGGCTTCGATACAACATCATCTAACCTCCCCACAAACAAATTGGGATGAATGCTTAATAAATGGGTTGTCTAGTCAAAGGCAGATACATCCAGCCTTTGTTGTTTATTCTCCTGAATTATTTCCTTTATTTGTATTTATTATTTATTTGTGTTTGTATTTATTCATTATTTGTATTTACACACTGCCCTTTGCTTAATGTTCTCAGAGTGGGTTGCAAACAGATCACAGTTTAAGTAAGTACAACGTACAATAGAAACCATAAAATAAAAGCAACCAACATCCAAATAACAAAGAGAGGAGCAAAACCACGGTGGAGAATTGCAAAGCACAGCAAATATAGGAAGTCAGTTCTCCTGCGCAGGAGAAGCCTGGGTATCTCACTTTGTGAATAGATTCATTATTCTCCAGAGAGCTGCTTCCCACTTGACAAAGGTCAGTATTACTCCCCAGGGATGCAGTAGACACAACCGTATCAAGTTGAGGCTGAACACACCATTGGCCTGCTGCTGCGCCCAAGTAATGAAGCCGCAGAGAGACAGTTTCCTTAGTGCAAACCTAAAGAATGGAATGCCAACAAGTAGGCAAAGGACCAGGATCAGAACTTGGCCCTGTGGATAGCTTGATGAAAAGAAACCTGATATCCCCTTGGTCACTGGCTTCCTCTGGCTTTTGGGATGTGCTAATGAAACTAGATGCCCATGGTGAACTGCTAACTTGTTCCCAGTGAATTATAACTCATCTAGCAACGGTCACTTCACTGTGAGGCTGCACAATGTTGACAAGGGTGAAAAACAACAACATTGACCCTATATCTAGGCTGCAGCGCTTGAAGCGTTTTTTGGCTGAGTGCTTCCACTCACCGTCAACGAGCTCAGGCTATAGTTAGTAAGTAGGTTTGAAAACTGAGACCTTGCAGACGTCTCCTTTTACTACATAGCCTCAGCTAATTTTACACCGAACCACTGTTAAATTACCGTATTTTTTGCTCTATAACACGCACCCGACCATAACATGCACATAGTTTTTAGAGGAGGAAAACGGAAAAAAAAAATCTAAATGAAACAGTGGATGTATGATTTTGTGGTTCATGCTGTGGCCACAGACATGTGATTTGACGGTGAGTTTGAGGTAGCCCAATGCAAAAATCCTGAGGATCCATGTGGATCCATGCTTTGTAACTACGTTTTTGCATCACTGCGGCCCCAGGCAACAGTGGGTGCGTGATTTTTTTGGTGCAAGCTGTAGCCATGGACATGCTATGTGATCTGATGGTGAATTTGGGGTGACCCAGTGCAAAAATCCTGAGGATCCATGTGGATCCATGCTTTGTAACCACGTTTTAAGTGGGGAGGGAAGGAAAAGCACTCAAGGGACAAGGAACACGTGTGGGGTGGGTGGAGAAGGATGCTGTTAATAATGCAGAAGAGGGGTATAAGCGGAGAAGCAAGCAGGCTCTGCTTCTCTCCCTCCTCCCCGGCTCGCTGAAAAACTTTGCTGCTATTTAGCCAGCTGAGTGGGGAGGAGAGAGGGACAGAGAGCCTGCTTGGTTTAAAGGAGCCAACCGGACAGGAGCCGCTTACACTCGTGTAAGCGGCTCCTCTCCTCTCCCGCTTTGCTCCTTTAAAGCAAGCAGGCTCTCTGTCCCTCTCTCCTCCCCACTCAGCAGCTCTTCTCCCGCTTTGCTGTTTCAAAGCGAGCCACGGAGGAGGGAAGGAAGGGGAACCACGGATCCTCTGCTCACGACTGCAGCAGATCCCCCCGCCATCCGTAGGCATTCGCTCCATAACACGCACAGACATTTCCCCTTACTTTCTAGGAGGAAAAAAGTGAGTGTTATGGTGCAAAAAATACGGTACTTATTTCTGGTACGGTTGTATCTTTTTTATAAAAAGCCCTCTGCCAGCTCTATGAATCCACCAAAAGCATTGGCAGAGGTTGTGAAGTGCTTTTACAGCTGTATTATCTTCATGCGGTAATTTCTGAAGCAGTTATCAAGCTGAAATTGTAAATGTGCGTGTGCATGTGAGAAATGTGTAATTAAAAGTAAAAAGACTTCGTAGTCTGTAGATGGCTTCGTGGTAGTTTCCCATACCATTTAAAATGGATATTACACTTGCATCACTGAGATAATGGTGATTAAAATGACATTTTTATTGATGGAGATCCCTTCTGAGGGACTTTCAAGCTTGGCAAAAGATTTTGGGACCAGCTGCAGTGCAGGCAAATGCTGAGCTAGCTTCTCCAAAAGGCCGACCTATTACAGCGTTTGCCTAACTTGGAAAATACAGTCATACCTTGGTTCTCGAACGCCTTGGTACTTATAAGTTTTGGCTCCCGAATGTAGAAAACCCAGAAGTAAGTGTTCCGGTTTTCAAACATTTTTCGGAAGCTGAACATCCGATGTTGCTTCCGCTTGGGTGCAGAAAGCTCCTGCAGCCAATCAGAAGCCGTACCTTGGTTTTGAACATTTCCGAAGTCGAACGGACTTCCAGAACGGATTACGTTCAAGAACCAAGGTACGAGTGTACTCTGGTCAGCTGAATCCCTAGCTGCTCCGATAAAGTCATTTTAAATCATGTTATCAAGTAAAGAATAGAAAACAAATGCATCCCATGTGATGTTGTGTATGCAATTGCTATAACAATGTAGCGTAGTAGTAAAATTATTTAGGGAGACTGGGGCTTATCATTGTGTTCTCATGTGTGTATGTAGGCAGACTCTGCAGCAGTTCTGGGGAACATTTGACCCTCCAGATGTTGGTGAACCACAGCTACCATCAGCCCCAACAAACATACCCAATGGCCAGGGATAATGGGAGTTGTAGTTTTAGCAGTATCTGGAAGGCCAAAGGTTCTTCACACCTGCCCTATGCTGTAGGGAGTATATCAGTCATGGCCAAACTTGGCCCTCCAGCTGTTTTGGGACTACAATTCCCATCATCCCTGACCACTGGTCCTGTTAGCTAGGGATGATGGGAGTTGTAGTCCAAAAACAGCTGGAGGGCCAAGTTTGGCCATCACTGGAGTATATCACAAGCTGCCTTACCCAAGTTAGACCATTTGCCCATTCAACCAAGGGTGTATAGACTTCAAGCTTGTTTTTCACAAGAACCCTAAGTTCCACCAACCACCACATCCTGGAGTAAATTACTAGCTCAGCTCGGAACGCTAAGGAACAGAGTGCCTCTGAGTACATGTCTAGCCCAGGGATTTGCAATCAGCACCAGAACAAACTCACAAGTCCTTTCACATACAAACCCACTCTTGGTTCCTTTCTCTCCACCCTGCTGCCCAGCATTCTTTCTAGGAATCCTAACTTAGAGCTTTAAAGTTGTTCCTATTGTCAGACAACTGGAAGGCAGAAATTCTTGCTGATTTACTGCAAATCACCTGTGCAGTCAAAGCATAGTCAGGGCTGTTAGAAAGCCCTTTTGTAAACAGTCTCATCCTGCTCTTTAAATGTCCAGCTTTTGGAGATTCAGATTCAAATTCAGCCTGGGGCTGTTTGCAAAAGAGCTTTCATAGAATCATAGAGTTGGAAGAGACCACAAGGGCCATCGAGTCCAACCTCATCAAGCAGCCTCATGCTGTGCTCTGAAGTCCAATAGCCAGGGCTTCAAAGCACAGTGTCACCTGACATCACTATGATGTCATCTGGAGCAGGTCATACCACTAAGAGGTATCTTGCAATGCTATCACTTTGATGTGTGCAGGATGGGTACCAGCCTTGAGTTTGAGACTGGGAAGTTAATGGCCGGACAAGGTAAACAAGCTACCTGATGCCTCCACGCTCTGGAGATGTCAGCTTCTTTTTCTTTTAAGATGAGGAACTGGAGGCAGAGCATTCCTCCACTCAGTTATGGTGCATCAATATCCAGCCAGCAGCAGGATAGGGAGCAGGCAGCTGCCTCCGGTAGGCTATGTTATTCCTGGCTGCAACCCTAACCATGTTTATCCAGAAGTAAGTCTCATTTATTTCATTCTATTTCCTAACCAAGTATGCTTAGGATCCCAGCCTGTCCCACACACTCCTCTGGGAGGGCATGCCTCGCTTGTTTCTGTTCTCTACTTGTGACACTTTATAGCTCAAATGATACAGGATAGCCTGCTGGGTCAGAAGAATTTTGCCATAGTGTAAGGGATAGGATGGTTTTCAGATGCTTCCCAACCCTACAGTTTATTCAGTTCATTCAAGAAGGAACGGTTGCCTCTTTGCAGAAGCTATTAAGGGCTACAGAATGAGGCTACATAATTTGTCTATTCCATTCAGTTCTCTCCAGTTTGTTAGATTTCAAACAACAGGGCATATTCACCATAGCACAGTAGCAAGCAAGCTACACCAGAAATCTCCCAGGGTCCCCCAAAATGAGCATAATCTAACAATGAACTGTGGAAAGCTGTCACTCCTGCGAAAGCCCACATTTATATTTTCTCCTAAGGAACAGGAAGCTGCCTTAACCGAGTCAGAACCAGGGATCCATCAAGCTTATAGTCAGACAACTGGTCCACGTTAGAGCTGGAGAAGGTTTAGAAAAGGGCAACCAGGGATTTAGCAACTCCCCTATGAGGAAAAATCCCAATATCTGGGACTTTGTAGTTTAGAGAAAAAGTGAGTAAGAAGAAACGTGGCAGAGGTGGATAAAATTATTTATGGGATGCAGAAAGTGGACAGGGAAAGTTTCTCTCATAACACTGGAACTCAGAGACATTCAATGAAGCTGGATGTTGGGAGATTCAGGACAGACAAAAGAATGTACACAGTGTATGGAAATTTGCTTCTATGTAAGGCCTTTACCTTTACCTTTTTAAGGCAGTTATGGCCACCAACTTGGATGGCTTTAAAAGGTAAAGGTAAAGGGACCCCTGACCATTAGGTCCAGTTGTGACCGACTGGGGTTGCGGTGCTCATCTCGCTTTATTGGCCGAGGGAGCCGGCGTACAGCTTCCGGGTCATGTGGCCAGCATGACTAAGCCGCTTCTGGCGGACCAGAGTAGTGCACAGAAATGCCATTTACTTCCCGCCAGAGCGGTACCTATTTATCTACTTGCATGTTGACGTGCTTTTGAACTGCTAGGTTGGCAGGAGCAGGGACTGAGCAACAGGAGCTCACCCCGTCGTGGGGATTCGAACCGCCGACCTTCTGATCGGCAAGTCCTAGGCTCAGTGGTTTAACCCACAGCGCCACCCGCATCCCGGCTTTAAAATTCATAGAGGAAAAGGAAACCAATGGCTTCTAGCCACGCTACTTTTACATTCACCGATGGAAGCACTATGCCTCTCAATGCCAGTTGGTGGGAACTGCAAGTAGAGAAGGTGCTGTTGAGCTTAAATCCTGCTTAAGTGCTTCCCATAGGCTTCTAGTTGGCCAGTGTGAGATCAGGGTGCTGGACGAGATGCACCATATGTCCGATCCAGCAGCCCTTCTTAGTTTAGGATTATCTACACCTGGGGTTTCCCAAACTCTAGCTGTTTCTGAACTACAGTTCCCATCATCCCTGACCACTGATCCTGCTAGCTAGGGTTAATGGGACTTGTAGTCCGAAAACAGCTGGAGAGCCAAGTTAGGGAAACCCTAGCCTACACTGTCCTGCCATAGCTCTATCAAGTTTCAGGGATGTGGGTGGTGCTGTGGTCTAAACAACTGAGCCTCTTGGGCTTGCCAGTCAGAAGGTCAGCAGTTCAAATCCCCGCAATGGGGTGAGCCCCATTCCTCTGTCCCTGCTCCTGCCAACCTAGCAGTACAAAAGTTCATCAGTGCAAGTAGATAAATAGGTACCATTGCGGCGGGAAGGTAAACAGTATTTCCTTGTGCTCTGGCTTCCGTGACAGTGTTCCATTGCACCAGAAGCGGTTTAGTCATGCTGGCCACATCACCCAGAAAGCTGTCTGTGGGCAAATGCCGGCTCCCTTGGGCTGAAAGTGAGATGAGTGCTGCAACCCCATAGTCGCCTTAGACTGGACATAACCGCCCAGGGGTAATTTACCTTTTTTTTTTTTAATCTATCAAGTTTCAGCCCTATCTGAAGATGCCAGGAACTGCAGCTAGGTCCTTCTGCATGCAAAGGCAGCTGATCTACCACCGAGATATGTCCTTTCCCTAAAGCTGAGTTCAATCACTGATTTACTCAAACATGGATATAGGCTTTCAAGAGTTAATGGAACCTGCTCCCCGTCTCCTTCTTGTATTCCTTATGATAAATGTTTTCATCTCGTTGATACTGATCAGAAACATCTCTGTGTTGCAAGCTGCTGCAGAACTTTTTACTTGCGTGCCAGATTAAATGTTCTGCCTTCCCAAGTTTTATTGGGGAGGTATGGTGGCACTCCATTGCGGTTCTGGGCTGCTGCTCTGTTAACTTTCTTATTGGTTAGTTTTGTGGTTTGCTCGCAACCTAATCCGTACTTGCTTTCATGACATTTTTGCAACCCACCCTGGGACCATTCGCTGAAGTGAAGGCTATGAGTATGAATAAGAAAACAAATAAATACAATATTTTGAAGCCATGATTTAAGCAGAGTCTATTTTTTTTAAAAAAAATAATTACCACACACCCAGAACTTGGGAAATTTAGACAGTGGATTCTTCTAGGAGGATCGAACTCAGTTTGAAGTGTGTGTGTATTCAGGGACAGATGCCGGCCCCACTACACATCAATGCATCAGCTTTCCTTTTA